AACTTGGAATCTCTAAATACTAGTAAATGTCATAAAAGTATCAATAGAGTTATGTAACAATATAGAAAAATTAATTTGGAGCATTTTGTTACTATTGGCAATCACATTTATTTTACCATCCAAACCTAGTACGAGAGATCAATGGACTTGGCAATGTAGTGTCTCCCAGCACTATAATGCTCTATCCATCATCAATAGGTCTTCTAACTAGCAAATGGATGAGCAGTGTGCAAGAACTCATCCACTTGCATTGCAAGAGCTACACTTGAGTTGTCTAGAAGTACCTTGGTTGCCTTCTCATCATTTGGCTCAATTGGGCCAACCTTCCGCTTACTAGGGGATAAGAGCAACCTCCTACCCATCCTCCTCTACGTCTTCCTTAAGCTACCATGCCTCCCCTTTTTTTTTGCTAATTTTACCAAATGTTTAAGAGGCATGTCATAGAAAAATGAATCAGAAAATTGCTAAATAGGCTACAAAGTATCAAAAGAATCATCATCCAAAATGATAGCTTTCCCTTTGTTGCCCTCCTTAGTTGGTCCTTTTCCTTCTTTGTTGTTCTTCTCCTCATTGTCAACAAAAGGTTGCTAGTTTGCCACTCCACAATCCTTGGCTCTAGACTCACCTATAAAAGACGCACTCATTATCGATGAGGTTACCTTCATACCATTATTTGCAAAACGAGGTACTAGAGAGGACATTAGCTTGCTATATGATAAAACCAAGTCTTCAAATTCCTCAAGTCCTCATCTATCCTCAAACTTAGCTCTTAACCAATTGCCATATGGCTTTGTAATCTTCTCTCTTGCCTTTGTTAGCTTGAAATTGATTTCATAATCAAAATCCACATGACCCATGCACCCACAAATATAACAAAAGTTTGACAACCTCTCATATTTAATTCTTAGTTTCTAAGTCTCAGTAGTTGAGACTTTCACATTCTTAAAATGCCTCAAAGGGTGACTTGCCTCAAAGGGTGACTTACCTCTAAGTAGATACGAACTCATAGGGCTTTATTAAATGAGTTATCAACTTCTAGAACCTTTCCTATGGATCCTCCAACCCGCTGACCTACCTTTTCTCCATGGAGACCACATGGGAGCCTGAAGAATCAAACCCAAAAAGGACAACCCAAAAAATCATAACTCTCTGGAATTGTGGATTAATTGAATTGCTTCAAAATTATCAAAGAATGATTGAAATTCCATGGTGCCTTTTGAAGAACCTTGTCTAGATCATACCTATTGGCAAATTAAAATAGAAAGATTTTATTATCGACCTCCTTAATCTAAACACCACAGTGTGGTTGCCATGATTTTGTTATGGCATTTTGGAATTCAATTAGATTAATCCCTCATTGAGTGTGAACTTTATTGATCAAGCACAAGGATTCCATCAAAACCATTAAACTATTCCAATCATTCTCCAAGGAAAGCACTGTGCTCTCATTCGTACACAAATGGATTCTTCCAAGAAGAGAGCCCAATTCATCAGTAGCCCTTACTAGACTAGCCACTTGCAATATGTGCACAACATCTTCACTTGATCCCTCAAATCAATGAGGTGTAGAAAAGTAGAGGTTTGAACCAAAGGGGACAAAAAAAGGTGAAAATGCAACAATTGACAGATGATAAATTGTAGAAAATGAAGGTATTTTGGTTGGTTGGTTGTTGCCGAGAGAAAGAGAGGAAGAAAAAAGGGGCCTCCAAGCAAAAGGAGAGTAAACCCTAGAGAGGGAGCCTAACCTAACCCTAGTTAGGAGGCAAAAATTAACTAAAATTAAGAATGAGTAATGAGTAGGACTTATGACTATGAGTGAAATACTTAAATTGAATTAAATTAAATTATTTTTTATTATGTTTTTAATATTTCATAAAAATAAAAATTTTTATAAAAGAGATATTCCTCCTTACCTAAGTCTTACGAAGATCAAAGAAAGTCATCTTCCTAGTACTAGTCAAGTGGTACAATGGGAACCGTTTGGTTTTTTTTTTTTTTAAACAAATTCGTAAGGGTCAGATTCGAACAATTGCCTTAGGGAAGAGAGAATATACTTATATGTGGCCTGACGCTACTCAATCGAAGGCCTAAATACGAGACCGTTTGATTTAAACACGAGAAATCATTGATAAGTTATTAAACTACCTAACTTGAAAATGATCGTGGCGTTGGTTTCATGGATTAAGTACACGTGCCTCAATAAATATTGCTAAGTTCGTGCTCTGCTTGTCTTTAAGTCTCTTTGTAAATAAAACAAACAGCAAGAGTCATGTATTCCCTAGATGAGCAGTGCTAGGGCACTCGCTTTTTGCACTCTCCAGCCAACACCCCCCTTTCATTGGGCCACGTAAGCTTCTTTAAAGCTTTCAACGCAACCTCTCTGAAACCAAAATAACGTGGCCCAATAAAAGAGAAAGTGTTGGCCGGAGAGTGCAGGAGGCGAGTACCCTTAGCATTGCTCTTCCCTAGATATATATAAAATCACTGCTTTTTAATCGTTAAAAAAAATCTGCTCATTTTCACATTAAACCTTGGTGGGGGTTTTTTTTTTTCTTTTTTGACAGAGGAAATGGTTAGAAGTTAGATTAGTATCTACTCTTGACAAGATTCAAACACTGATCAGGGGTGCAATTCACTAGTAATTCTGTTGGGCTGCAGTGGCCACCAATAGGCCACAACAGGGGAATGCAACTTTGGTGGGGTTTGAATATAGCTCCATCAGTTAAATTTCATATAGCCAATGACTATGCTACTGACATAAATTCATATTTATCTACAAGTATATATAATTTTTGTGCGTTCCATTATGGGTTATGATACAAAAGTTAGGTGAGCTAATTATGCAGGTCAGATTATTTAAAATATTGAACTGCAATACTGAAGGGAAAGAAGTTTTCAAGTTCATGGGGTTTGTGAACTTGCAGCCAATTCAAGTATGAAATTTCAACTTCAATATGCCATTTGATAAAATAAAAATCAAGACACGGTAAAATTGAAATTTCATGTATGAAAAAAAGTGGTTAACTTCTCAACTAAAATTCATCTTTCTATTGTACCAAATTAATATCATAAATTAATTTTTTTTTCTTAAATTTTTTCTTACTTATTTTAAAATTCAAACTTAAAATCTCACATTTAATCGGTCATTAATATGTCCCATAGTGGACAATATGTCTCATGTCCAAAGTCCAATGATATTCCTCTTTTCTTTTTTTTTGTTTAATGAATTGTCCACTAATATGTCTAAGATATTAATTAGTTGTCATATGAATTGATTTTGGATATTAATTGCCATAAGAATTGATTTCGGATTTTGTTGCCATTTTCTCTTATGTGATGGGATTT